TGAGCTCCCGCTACCGTGGTCCACTTGGGTGGACCAGGCAGCTTTCCCTTCAAGGGAAGACTGTTTAGTAGCTCCCCTATCGTCTCTCCCCTATTGTCTCGGTGTTACCTCCTCTCATTAGAATTCTAGTGCCAGCATTTGCCTTTAAAGCAATTATTTAAGTATCGTTTCCTCAGGAGGCCAATTTGCCTTCCAACCTCAATAAGCTCCCTTAATTCCTGGTACAGACAGGGTTCAGGCTGGGGAGCAGCGTTGCCATCAGTGGCCTGATGGAAAGTTTTACATAGCTTAATGCTAGATGTTGTCTTTCTCGCTCTGTGGAAATTGCCTCTTAGCTCTTGCTGCCTGGGGTCCTGGCTCACCAGGATCTCAGATCAAGAGGGGCATGACCTAATCCCCGTGTTCAGAAAGAATTCTGAGGTCTATATATTAGGGACTCTGGCCCTCCCAGTTCCCATGAGGCCATGGGTGTGGTGGGCTAGAGTTTGTGGGGGGCAGCAATCCAAACTTGTTTTGCTTGGCTTCGAGAGTATGATGGGTCATCAACCCCCACATTTGTGTACCACCTTCACCCCTAATCTACACTCAGCGCTGGAGTACAGCGGGCCTGTCTAGGATCAGAAACAAACCTCACACAGAGGAAATTAGCTACACTTGAGTAGACAATCACCCCCACTGACGTCAAAGTTCCCCTTCCCTCCATGCCAGGTGTTTTGGAACTGTAGAAGAGGGGTCCTGAACAGGAAGAGCTTTCTGAGGAAGAAAAGCAAACAAAGGGCATGGGAGGATCCTCTCCCCCCTCCCCAAATTCCAGGGAAAGGCGGGGAGTGTGTGGAGAGCAGATCAGCTCCCAGCACAGGGCCCCTTCCTGGATGTTGCTAGTTTAGGGCCCATGGCCTTGTGGGGACACCTGAGCATTCACTTCTTTGTTTCCCTGCTACGTAGTCTCTCCGCTCAGCCCTGAGTGCTTGTCCTTTGCCCTCTATCTCTGGCCTCTCCTAAGAGCTCCTAAATTCTTGTGGTGCACTCACTCTGGCTCTCTGAGCATCTATCTACCCAGACACAATCGGGAGATGCTACTTGCAAACGATACGTAACCGAATCGGAAAGACAGGAAGTGATCACTTTTAAAGAAGCTGTCCATGAAGTCCAGTGGGTCTGGAGCTAAATAGAACAATAGTTTTAAGAAAGATAGTATCTATTTTATATGTTAGACTTAGGGTGCTCCCTTAGAAAGCAAAAGGTTATGATGGAATCTTCTCCCCAACAGGTCCTACCAAAGGCCAGGGCTTGGGTACCAAGGATTCTCCAAGAGATCTATTTATGACTGTGGATCTTGCTTTTGGAGGTTCAGTTAATCAGAAGTCACTTCAATCCAGAATGAAGTTTTCTTCACAATGCTTATGTCTCCAGCCTCATTATTTCCAGCCTCATGGAGGGAGGATAACAGAATTAAAGACCAGGATGTCGGAGGACTTCAGGGTGCAAGGTGGAGTAAATGCAAGCCAGCACTAGCAGTTTCCTACAGTGCTGCCCCCTTGGCTATATTCTGCTTCAGCAGCTGTAGGAGGGGGTTGGGGGTCCTAGTTATCAATTCACAGAGAGTTAAGAAGGACTTGTATTTTCCTCCTCCACTTCCTCCTTGGGGCACTGGAATTTCTAGTTCCCTATGAATTCTCTGAATGGCTAAAGATGGGAAAAACCAGGCAAATAATAATAATAAATAATAATAATAGTAATAACTCATATAAAATGCTTTAAATTTGCCAGTAGAGACTATCATTTATTGAGAATCATGCCCACAGTGAAACTGCCATCCCCTGCCTGGTTTAGAGACAGGTTTCCTTCACAACATTTAGGAGCCAAGGGAACAAAGCTCAGATTCCCATAGGAAGCCCAAACTGAGGCCCATGGGTCTGATGTGGCCGTGAGTGCAGGCCAGGAGACCAAGTGATGGACAGGTCATAGAGGGTTGGCTGGAAGAGAACCCCTCAGAAGGGAGAGTAATGGGGAGAAGCAGGTCAAAGCCCAGCTGAGTGATGTTGGTCCAGTTTGTATAGTTAAAGTAACCAGGTTGTGCGTTTTGGAAAACTGACCAAATGTCTAACTGGCCAAGCTCCAGGAAAAGCTGGAAAGGTAATAACAGCATATTTTTGGTACTTTTCCTCTCCATGTTCTTATGTTTTTCTTTTTCCCACCTTAGCTATACTTTCTCCTTTTTCATCTGTAGGAATCTAGGGCTGCAGAGTTATAGAAACTTGGAGTTGGAAGAGAGAGGATGCAGTGGTCATGTGGTTTAGCCGCCCACACCCCAAGCAACTGTCCTCAATGGAACTCCAGCTCCTGCTCCTCATAGGACATCATTTCTCAGGCAACGTCCATCATTACAAAGCATCCCTCTCCACCAACTCAGCCTGTCTGCTTATTACGCCCACCTCACCTCTGTGCTCTGTGCCCAGGAGTAACATTTAATTGACCTCTACCACTTGGGTCACATGCTGCAGACAGACAAGGTCTCCCCTTTTTTTCTTTTCAAGCCAAGTACAACCAGCTTGATCATCATATCCAGAGGGAAAAGGGAGCTCCAGACCTCATTCGTCCAGCTTCCACTCATCTCAGCATGCCCTTGTTTGCCAAAGACCATCTCAGAATGTGCAGTGCGTGTTTTCTTTGTACTCTCCCTTCATTGTTCGTCAAACCTTTTCTCAGAAATGACCGCTCCAATCTAAGATGCAAATGATTGATCATGCTTACCGTGTGCTTCCCAGGACCGTTTACATTTTAACAGGTTCAAAGCTTTAAGTCAAAGGGATGGCTGGGAATATTTGGGCAGTAGGCAATAGCAACACAGGAGACAGGAAAAGAGGCACAGAAATTTTCCTGGAATCCTTAAAATAATGCCTGATTTATTTCCTAAACAGAAGACCAAGCCAGCCAGATAACTTCCTCGTGACAAACACACACTGTGAACCTAAGTGGGCTCAGATCGTCTGAGTTACCAGCCTCATCTTTGTCTCAGGTTGAACTATTCACCCGGCTAGGTAAGTCCCCATAAAATAAATTCCGTGAAGTCAGGAGCTGGTCTGATTCTCTCCCGGTTTATTGTCAAGCCTAGGGCCCAGGTAACATATTAATAGTTCCTCATGCAATGTGTCCTAGACAAATGAGTGAATGAGGTCAGGCCAGAAGGCAGAGATTCTCAGGTCATGAATGTTAGCACATAGCCCCGGGCAACCAACATGGGAGCCCATTTCGAATGGAATGGGGAACAGGCCGACATTTAGGGCAGCAAGTTACCAGAACTAGCTGGTACCTCATTTCAGGGGCAAAAGCAGATAGACAACAACCAAAGAATGATATGAACACACATGGGATTCAGCTACAGCCCCTATCCCAAAGATTTTCCAAAACTAAAACCACTATATTTAAACCAAAGAATTCAATATATCTGTTAATTGAAGGAAAGGTTACTCTTGGGATCTGAATCAGTGGCTGGAAGATTAAGTGGAAGAAATATCTCAAAGCAGAACAAAAATAAAAATTGTGAAGAAGGAGAGAAGCAACTTGGATCAGAGATCAAGGAGGCCTAATCTATGGACAGAGGAGTTCCAGAGAGAGAAGATGGAAGAGATGGAGGAAACCTGAACCCCAGAGATAAAGAGAACATCTTAAAGATCTAGAAAGAAAGGCAGATTATTTGCAAAAGAAAAGAATGAGATCAGCTTCAGGTTTCCTGTTTGTAGCATCTGAGTGACAGAAAATGAAGGAACAATATCTAGAGAAAACTGAGAGGGCCAGGTGCACCCCAGGAAGTCCACACCCAGCCACAATGCCATTCACTTGTCACAGGAAAGAAACCTGTGGACATGCAAAGAGTCACAGAACATGTCATCCATATTTTTTCAAATATTATTTGAAGAAAATTCTCAAGAAAGTTCTAAACAAGTAATAAATGAATCAGAACACAGATTGCAAGACAAGGGAAGATGAAGAATAGAGAAAAGAATGATAGAAGGTAACTGGCCTAATAAAAATAGTACACTCCAAATGAACAAGGATAGAGTATGTGTTATGGGTCAAGTAGGATTACTGCAGAAAGAAGAAGCATATTATAAGGAAAATTAAGAATGATAAATAATCTCAGTAAAATTTAGGGTGGGAGATGGTTGGAGAAATACAAGTGTTTTAGAACTGATGCACTGGGGAGGGAAACAGTGAAAGAATTAGAGGTTTTTAGCTCCTTGGGGTGGGAAGGAGCACTGGAGAAATGGGGTATCATGCAAGGGAAAGCCATTTGGCATCTTGTTTTTATGTAACAATAGAGAAATGGGCTTTTGATCATGAGTGTTGGGAAAGGGGCAGTAACCACCAGTGGAAGGGAAAACCTGAATGTTCAATTCTTCATATTTAGATACTTCCAGTGTCACATGTGAAGTTCCTCTCTTCTGCCAAAGGCTGTCAGTGCCCATCAGATTATAGCTCTGCACGGAGGGGGCCTTCACTTCCTAGCACATGACCTCGACTTACTTCCCACCCCATGTATGCCTGGGAGCCACTCAGCAAGTTCAATTCCACAGCATCTGTCATTTACTTAAATACGCCAAGAAGATCACCTCTTGTTTACTTCCCCAAGGAGTCTGTTTTTGGCTTGTGCCAATAGCATGTAACACACTCCTTACTTCTAACTTTGGCAATCTCATCACCAACTTTTTTTTTTTTTTAGTACATGGGGATTGGACTAAGGACCTTGTGCTTTTGAGGCAGGCACAGTACCACTGAGCTAAACCCCCAGCTCCAACTTCTTTCAATGTTCACAATGGATAGCTTTGAAGATTTGGGTAGAGAGAGAAAATCAGGCTCAGGGCGAGCGAGTTACAGGTGTGTTTGATTGGATACAGGTGCCAGGAGAGCAAAGGAGGTGAGTGCTGTGCTGATTGCCCCAGAATTGAAACCACAGGGGTCCAGGCAAGAGCATTTCTGCCTGGAGCTGGGCTAGTTACCGCTGGGGGACTTTGCTTTCTCAGGGTTTCTCATCGTCAGGTAGAAGATGCGGTTGGCCTCTGGGTAGGTGACCTTGCTGAGTGGGAGCTTGTAGATGGCAGGGTTGTTGGTCGTCAGGAGCAGGAAGATAAGGGAAGACAAGCAGAAGGCCCAGGTGCCTGGTGTCACACCCATCTGGAAATAAAAGCAATGGGGTCTGAAGAATGTTTCTGGGCCTCTATTTTGAGCCTGAGACCTGAGGAGAAGGATATGGTAGGGGCTGAAGATGGGGATCCCCCTCCAATGGAGGCATTGGTGTTCCTAGATTCAGAATGTCCAGGTAGTTGGTCAAGAAATTTGAGGTGTTGATGACTTTGGGCACAACAGAATCTTTTAATGTTGGAGCTGAAAATCGGCCTAGGGATGGTCTCCCAGATCCAGTCCTAGCTCCATCTGTCCCCGTTCTCTGGGTAAACCCTGGATAAACTCTGACAGAAACAATGGGTTACATACCAGATTCTATAACTTACTCATAATTCTTCCACAAGACCCCAAGTGTCTGGAAGATCTAGCAGGGGAGCAGTGCTTAGGGTAGTGTTCAGGAGAATCCAAACTTACCACCGCCATCATGTTGGAGAGGGCTGCTCCCATGTATGCACAGAAGAGGGCTGTGGAGGAGAAGGACCATCAGAGTCAGCTCCCCAGGGCCTACCCTTGCTCCCAGCCACTGCTCTGGCAGAACAGGGAGCCCAGACCAAGGCAGGGAACCTGTGCACTTTCCCGCAGCCTTGGGGTGTGTACTACACCCTGACATCAGGCAGTTTGTCTGATGTTGCTTGTCTTTGCAGTTGCCTGCTACTAGACTGTGCATTTCTTTGAGAGCAGAGATTAAAGCTTGCATTTCTTTCTTTCCATTTCTTACATCCATAGTGGCCTTGCATAGAGCCAGGGGTTCATGGAGATTTTTGGCCTGGTCCCATTAAATTTGGGGATGGGCTAGAACAGGCACACGACTTGGATGATGGGGAGGAATAGCCAGAGTGACTTAGTTGTCACTTTGCTGAATACTTACCGCAGACAAGGGCTAGCAGGTGGGTCTGCCAGGTGAGAGCATAGAACATGCCCCCAATGGCGATGCAGGAGAGGACACAATTGTAGCCCCAGAGGCCCATGTAGATTGTCTTGAAGGGTGTGGCCACCGTCAGTGCTGTGGAACAAAGTGTGCGTGTCTGGGTGATTCTGGACCATGGGGAAAAGGCCACCTCATGGCTGGTGCCAGGTCTGAGGGTGCCGTCCTTCCTGTAGTTCACCCCATTACTCACAACCCTGCCTGTTATAGGAGTCTCCGAAATGGAGCAACAGAGAGAAGGAAGCAGTGGTTTCCAAAGCCCTAGTCTTCACACAGACGTATTACTACTTCTAGGGTGAGGGGAAGCCTAGAAGGCAGGGGGCTCCAGGTATTCCCTACTCCTTAGCCAGAGAAGCTGCAGTTTTAGCAAGAAAACTTTTCCACTTCAAGAGTCCTGTTTCAGATGGTTCAGAAAAATTCTCCATCTACACAGATCTATGTAGATTAGAGATGTTACGGTCAAGAGGTAAGATGTGAACAATATGGCAAATCTAGGTAAGGAATTAATGGTACCACTTGTATTTACTTTTATAATTTTTTGATGAATTTGAAATTATTTCCAATTTAAAAGAAAATTTAAAATTCTGCTTTCAAAAGTCTTTGAAAAACATTGGAATAAGTAAAAATCAGGCTTCTAATGTGTTTTTTTTAATAAATGGAGTACTACTCAGCCATAAAGAATGAGAAAGTAGAGACATTTGTAGCTAAATGGATGGATACTGAAGCCATACTCTTAAGTGAAATAAATAGGGCACACATGTGTAAATACCAAACAGTTTCTCTGGTGTGAGAAACTGAAAGTGTAAATAAGGATTAAAATGAATAATTGATAATTTGAAATAGGAAGAAAGGTTCAAAGGGGTAGGGGAAGTGGAAGGGGAAAGGGAAAGGAAAAATTATGAGAAAAGGAAAAAATGGAAACAAAGTCTTTGTAAATAGGGAAGGGTGGAGGGGGTGAAGGGAGGACAGGGAATGGGGAAAAAATAAGAACCAAGATACATCATGCACAGGTACAAACACCCAGTGGTAAATGTAAATGTATTGTATACCTACAATGTACCAATAAAAGAATATAAGCAACCCCCCCCCCAAAACAGGCTTCTATCCCAACTCCTCTATCCCATTTTTGAACTCTATCATGGGGAAGAACATATCCCTATATAAATGTGTGTACATACATACACATATATGTAGCAATATGAAAGTGCCTGTGTGAAATGCAAACCCAATTTGGGGAAAGTCTTTTCCTTTTAGCTTTAAAAATTCAAAGTGCTGGGCCATATGTACTTGAGCATGGGCTATTCCTTTCCCTCTCCCCAACCGGATTACTCTCCTCCACCCTTAGCTGAAGGGCTCAGTACCCAGACTCCGTTCAGCTCTCTACACACCCTGCTCCTGCAGCCTGCTTCCTTTGGAGGCTCAAGAAAGGGAAAAATAAGTCCCTAGCCCTAACGGTATTTTGAAACTTCAGTGAAGAGAATACATCTAGGATAGTTACCATGTAGAAGGGGTAAATGACTCAGGACAGCTATCCCAAGCATCTCCCCAAAGAGTGGGGGCTCCATCCTACCTGCCAGCATCCCCACAATTGACCCAATGGCCGCATGCAAGCAGATGAGGGGCGAACAGATGAACAGAGCCACCAGGATCAGGCCACCAGTCCAGGGGTTGTCACAGCCGTACACCTGGCCCACTCCGACAGGGATGGCTTGCAACAGCTGCAAAGTCAACAGTCCAAGTTGTTCGAGTGCAGGCTGATAATGCAAAGACCAGCCTCAGGGCCAGGACTGAGCCATTGCTGGAGACACTAATGAGGCAGAACAGGAGGATGACGGTGCCCTCTAGCGTGAGAGGAGATGGGGAGGGCATAAGCTGGAACAAATAGCTCCTCACTCCACCACCTACCAGGCATCAGGCATCCCTCATGCAGTCAGGTGGTGACCAGACATGGGGACTGGGCAAGGTGCTTCTGAGGAACACATAGCTTTCTTTCCCCTTGAGAGGAGAGGCTTTGAAGGGCCCAGGATGCTTCTCCTCCTTACACTGCTGTTGGGGGTTTCAGGGCACTAGAAGATTTCCTCTAAATTTCTAGGAATCCTAGAAGTATTCTAGGCCATTGTGATGGGTGATTTTACCAAATGCAACTAGGCTAAATTCTCTGAACTCGACCCCTCTGGTCTACGGTCTCTCCATCTAGACACTGTCAGCACATCCTCCCTGGTGGGTGCTGTCCATTCATAACCTCAGTGTTATCCTGGAGGTTGTGGGCCTCTGGGAAGAAGCAGGCATATTCTCTGCTTTCAAGGATCACTTAACATTGTGGAAAAGCACCCTGCAGAACATATGGAAGATGGCATGAAGCCACGACATCACTGAGCCCGAGAGTGACCTGCTGGTGTTGGGATTGGGGGTGACTGACTTGGGAGTGACGTCAGATGGTCTTTCTTGGCCTGGCTGAATTGTTCATATTTTTCTTTGAGGGCAAAAAGCAAGGAAAGTAGAGAAAGTGAGAGCCCTGGCTTGTGAGTTCAGGGTTCCAGTGTTCAGGGATGCTCTGTACGACTTCATTGTGTGACCATAAGCCCGCCACTTCCTCACCCAGGCTTCAGTGTCCTTCTCTGCAACACAAGGCACCTACCTGGTCTGGCAGGTGACCTTACAGCTTCAAAATTGTGTAGTTCTTTTCTCCATCACTGACCCACATGGCTCTTAAGAGAATAGGGCTCTTTGTGGCTGGATACACATTAAGTGCTTAATAAACATGTATTGATTAGCCCAGTGGTTCTTGAACCCTGCTGTATATTGGAATCCCCTAGGAATCGTTAGAGAACCTACTCATGTCCTGCTCCTCCATAGCCAATCTAATCTGATAGGTATAGGGCATCTCCCTGGCCTTAGGTGAATCTGATATATAACAGAGTTTGAGGCCCACTGGATTAGGTATAAACGATCAGCTGTAGATATGGGAAGTTAAGTACATTTCTCCCCTCGCATGGAGTTTTGCTCTTTTTAACAACTTGATTTGATTCTGGTATCAATTTGATTTCTCTTTAGGGAACAATTTTTGAGGAGTCCCAGGGTGCTTCCCATCTTTGCTCATCATTGTCTCCAAATGGGTGACTTTTTAGTAACCACACATTATTTAATAACCACACATTGTAGGACCAGAGTCTATAAACTTGTGAAAGGAATGATCGGGTGGGGTCCAGTCTTATTTATAGCAACCCAGAAAACACTTTGTACCAGACCAGGGAACTCGGCTTACATATAATGAACAGACGGGAAATCCACTCAATAAATATCTCACAATTTGCCAACATCTGAGGAGTGCGGAATTCTGAGGGGAGTCCAGCTTCCACCTGTCCGTCTGGGAACATGGGTTGTGAGCCCAGGCAGGCAAGAATGAGAGGAATGAAGGAACAAGGGGCCTTGGAATGGAGCCCGGCTTCAGAATGAAGCTCCTCTGCTGGGATCCATATTTTTGCCTGATGAACTGTGCACTGGGGTGACAGGTGGCAGCTGGCACCCAAGGGTGAAGGGCAGTCAGGTGTGTGGTGGAAATTTACTGAGCGCCCTGCTTCATCTGTTCTCCTTATGATTCCCAGGACAGACAACAAGCTTGCTGAACAAAAAAGTTCCTCCATTTGTTTTAGAGAAAGGGTAAAACAGCACTGATTTTTCAAAATTCAGATCTAGATAGTGTGGGAGAGAATGATGTTGGTTGTCAGAATTCTGGGCTGCTCAGGAGGTGAGACAGTGAGCTCGCCTTAGGGTGCCCAGATTTGGGTCCAGCCACTTTCCAACTGTTTATTTTGAAGATGAACAAGAGGCACCTCTTCCCTGTGAGCCGCACTGGCTCCTGGGCACTGGATTGTCCACCCTCACAGCATGGATTGGGGCCTTAGAGAACCTTTGTCTCTGGTCATGTCACATGCCACTTGGACAATGCCCTTTGGGTCGAGATCAGAGAGAGTGGGTCTGTGCATCCAAGGTCAATTTGCCTACTTGCCACAGGGCTGATCCTCAATGATTCTGTCAAAGTTTTGTCCCTGCTCCTTCCCCACCCATTTTTCCACCTGAGAGAGGGGCTCTGTCTTTTCCAGTCCTTTGACTTTAGCCCCCAACCCTGCCTCTGATCCCACTCCATCCCACCTCCCAGCCTAAGACAAAACTTAAAAAGACAAAAAACTTTAAAAAGTATTTGCACTGTTTGCAGTGGCATTTCCACCTGAAGTGGAGGAGCATTTCCTTCTCTGACAGGTTTAGGGTTAGAACATGTTTTCCTTGAAGGACCCGGAGTGGGAGTTTGGAGCTAATTGCCAATAGAAGGTCACACTGAGGTTCAGATACACAGAGGCAACAAGCGGGGCTGAGTGGTAAGGGCTCAAAAGTCCTTTCATACAAACAGTAGTTGAGGTTGTGGGATATGTTTTCAAATTTTCAAAAGACAGCCACAGAAGCGATATTCTGAATTACCCTAGAAAGCGGAGCTAGAAGCAATGGGTGAAAGACAAATGGGGATGGATTTCCCAGGCATATAAAGAGCCCTCTAATGCTTAAAGATACCTATGGATGGGGTTCACTGCTTTGAGAATTAGTGATTTTCATCTCACTGGGATTGTCCAACCTGAAGGTATGTGTTCTGCCTTAGACTAGAAGGTGATGGTTCAAAGTTTAGTTGCCCAGGTTTAGTAGCTACAGGTTAATCAGAGCAGTGGTGGCGAACCTTTTAGAGCTTTCAATGATATAAACAGCCTCCTACAGCATGTGTGCCAGAGGTTCACCACCACTGATCTAGGGCAAGTAATTCTTTCTGTGCCTTAGTCTTCTCATCTGTAAAATGGGATAACTATAGCAAAATGAGTTAATATTAGAATGGTTTGAAACAGTGTCTGTTACAAGTTTGATTTAGTTTTAGCTGTTAGCTATTTTTGTTTAACCAAGTCAAAATAATTCTATAAACTTACTCTTGTATTAGATTTTTCTTATTTTTTTATTCTCAATATCTAGAGCTCAGTAGAATAAATAAATATGCACATTTATGATAGTAGAATGTAGAGCAGAGTTTCTCAACTTTGACCCAGTTGACATTTTAGACTGTATAATCTTTCCTAGTGGTAGGAGGAACCTGTTCCATGCACTATAGGCAGTTCCCTGCCCTCTATTCACTAGATATGAATTACACCTCTCTAGTTTTAACAATAAAAATTGTCGCAAGACATTGCCTAATGTCCACAAGGAGCAAAATCTCTCTTCCTTGAAAACCATTGATATAGAAAGTATGTGAAAATTCACCCTCTGTCTTCTATTGATACATTAAAATCCTAATTTTAAAAGTTTATTTTAGGCTCTTGCCTCTTTATCACATTATTATATTATCTAATATTTTTCTGCGACTGTCAATTTAGCACCTAGTATCTGTTCACTTGCAGGTTGTATGTTTTCCTATGTAAATGTAAGTTTCATGAGGTCAGGGATATTGTTGTCTTAGTCCTTGTGTATTGGCAACAATGAAAAAATGTCCAGCACATTTTAGATGGTTGGTAGATATTTGTTGAGAGGAAGTATGGATGTAGCAGCAACTCTGGTCTTTGCTGAGGCCCATTATTTGATTTCAGAGGGGTTTCTAGCAAAGCCAAGAGCCTGGGTAATCTACAAGCTGGTTAGTGAGAATCTAGGGGAATCTAGTGGAAATTAAGAGTCTCAACTCATCACCATTAGGTAACTTACCAAGGGCATTTCAATCTCTGTCCAGGTGATATTGGGCACTGAAGACACAGGCTCCACCAGTGTTGCGGGGAAGAAGAGGTTGTAGTGGCCCGTGGCTGCCAGGTACAGGGTCAAGGTGATGTTGAAGGGCAGTGTAAAGACTGGTAGGTCCCACTTACTGAGGATGGAATTCAAGGCACTAGAAACAACTGGGCTGAAGATGGAAGAGACAAAGGGTCAATCACTTAGGTTGACCTTGTCTTTTTAACTGAGCATCCTTAGGTAGACACGGTCTGTCTTATCAACAGTGGCCACTGTACTATTCACCATCCCTCTCCTTGTCATAGTTATTTCTTGGCTTCCCCAAGAGTCCAGTGGTCCTCTGATCTGGGATTGGAAATAAGATGTTCAGTATGAGCTTACACCTTTGAGAAACAAATGTAAAAAATATAACATTATGGAATTAATATGAGAAAATGAAAAAATGGAAACAAAGTCTTTGTAAATAGGGAGGTGTGGAGGAATTGAAGGGAGGGCATGGGAATGGGGAAAAAATAAGAACCAAGAGAGATTATGTAAAGGTGCAAATTTCCAATGATGAATGTCATTATATTGTACATCTAAAATGTACCAATAAAATTAATTTTAAAAATGTAACATTTTGTACAGAATACTATAGGAAATATGAGGTGTGATCACAAAATATGGTGATTGTTGAAATTAAAAAATTATTATAGTAAAAGCCACATTGCCATTGATTCTCATTAATACATTACTTAAAACACACTTAACCCGTCATCCTTGTCACTTTCTGAAGCAATTTTGGAAGTTCTCTTTCATGTCTTTAGTTGTGCTGCCATAATTATTTTGATGTCAAGAATAAATTCAAAATGTTTACCTTTTAGGGAAGATCCAGAAATTTCACAGTGCCAGGACCAATGAATAAGGATGCACTGTAATAGTTTTATTAGACAGAAATTGCCATAAACATTTTGAATCAATTCAGGACATTGAGGCAGCTACTCATGAAAAAGGACTTCTAGAACTGCTTCAGAAAGTGGCAAGAATGGTGGGATAAATGTGTTTAAAGCAAGAGGGAGTATTTCAAGGGGGTTTAATGGCAATGTGTCTTTTAGTATAATAAATTTTAATTTAAACATTTACTGTATCTTTTGATCACACCTTTCAATTTAAATATTTCCTTGTTTCTTAAATTGAGAAGAGTAATTAAAATGCAATCATTACAAAATGAAATTATTGCCTTTGGGTCATTAAGACATACAATAGTTGGGCAGGGATTTAGCTCATTGGTTTCGCCGCCTGCTGCGCAAGCGCAAGGACCCAAGTTCGATCCCCAGTACCAAAAAAAAAAAAGACATACAACAGTTATTGTCCTGGGCTGTGAAAACATTTTGGGGGTGTAACTTTCTAGGAGGAAGCTGCCATTGCATGCAGGTCATGTTCAGCCTTAGGCTCAGCAAAAACACTAAGTGCTACTCTGGGAACTGTCAGGTGAAAATGGAACTTCAGTTGTTTGTACCCTCTGTCTTCTTAGCCTCTTCCTAGGAAAGAGCATGAATTTTGGATACAGATGGAGCTGAATGCCAGTCATAACTCTTTTACTTGCCAGATGAGTGAGTGATGTCAGGTCATTAATCTCTCTTAGTCTCAGTTTCCTCAGGAAGGGATCAGCCACCCTAGATACCTAACACTTCACATCTCCTGAACTCAGAGACTGCTGGACCAAACATGAAATCACATGATCTGGCCGACTGGTCTACCTTGAATCTTGAGTGAGCATTTGGACATGCCTGAAAATGTTACTGCACATCCCTAGCACATTAAGTCTCCAAGATGCTGAGAACCATTTCACATTTTCACCTTTCTCTTCAAATCTTTACCGCTTGTTTCGCTTTTATTTCAGCCAACAAACAGACTTTACTTCATTAAAAAAATAGAAGTGACAAGATGAGAAATGTTTCATTTTCCCAACCATAAAAATCTGCACCTTGTCTGCCTTGTTCCTATGTACTCTGCTTCTCTGACTCTTTCATTTGATGGAATCATCCCTGTTCCTCCATGCACTAATTCTTTTCTCTGTTCTTTGGATCTGATCAGTTTTTTTTTTTTTTTTTGGTACTGGGGATCAAACTCGGGTCCTTGCACTTGCGCAGCAGGCGGCGAAACCACTGAGTTAAATCCCTGGCCCTGTATCTGAACAGTTTGAAGAACTTCACTTTTTTAATATTCTCCTCTTTTTCTTGTTTTCATCTTACCTTTTTCTCTAGCTCATTCTCAACAATCTCTAGTAAGCTCTAGTATGTCCTACCTTTAAAAATCCCACCCTTTAACCAGATGCCCACTCCCACTACTTCTCTATTTCTTTACTATTCTTTACAGCAATACTTCTCAAAAGGGCTGGCAATCAGCTGAATGAGGTAGCACATGCCTGTAGTCCCAGAGCTCTGGGAGACTGAGGCAAGAGGACTGCAAGTTCAAGCCCAGCTTGAGCAATTTAATGACTTAGTGAGAACTTGTCTCAAAAAATTGAAAAAATGAAAAGGGCTTGGAATGTATCTTAGTGTGAAGACCCTGGATTCAATCCTCAGTAACACACACACACACACACACACACACACACACACACACACAGAGGTGTTAATCTTTTTATACCAATTTTTCTGCTGCAAGTCATTCCTAAACCTGCTCCAGTCAGGTGTGTGTTCTCATTACATCACAGAAATAGCTTTGACCAGCTCACCAGTGAACCAGTAACACCTGTTTTGACATATCTGCAGTCATTCCTGGTCTTCTTAAGGTTGGGCTCTCTCATTGTCTGTGTGAGTTATTGTGACTTTGGACTTTCTTGGTTTTCTTCCTGCCTGCTCTTTCTTTACTCCCCTTTGCTGACTTTCACCCTCTTCTGCCAGACATCTATATGTTGGAAAACCCTACAACTCTATCTTGATTCTTCTTTTTGTCTTAATCGTCCTTTTTGAGTGATATTCTTGAGTTCTCTGGATGAAATACTTTCTATATGCTTCTGCCTTCCAAATCCTGATTATATCACAAAGTTAGAGATTTGTACATCTCTAACTTATCTTCTCAACCTCTCTACTTGAAAGTCTAACATGTAATGTGTCTAAATAGAAGTCATTACATCCCATCTCTGCCTCCAACATATTTTTCTCTTAGTCCTCTCTGTAACCCAGGTGCTTAGACAGATAATGGAAATGTATTGAACTTTCTTTCTTCTCCTTTGTATCCTCAGCCTCCCAGAAAGTCCTGTTGCCTCTATCTTTCTTAAAACATACCTCGTAGTCAATCACTTCTGGTCATGTTCACAGATAGCACTCTAGTCCGAACCCCTCTCATCATTTTGTGGGTCATTATAACAGATTCCTAACTATGCTTCTGAGTAGTTAAATTCATTTTCTACTTTGCAAGCAAAGGGGTTTGTTTAAATTTAAACTACATGCATCACAACTCTGCTTAAAACCCTTTAATGGCGTCCTGTTTTTACTAGTTGTAATAAAAATCTTAAGACTTGTTAGATCTATGGGGTGTGTGAGGCTGACCCTCATCTACTCTCTGTGTTCACCTTCTATTGCTCCTCCATCATTCACTGGGTCTCAGCCTCACTGGTTTTGCCTCTGTTTTTGAACACATCATACCCGCCCTGGTGGGAAAGTCTTCGAAACCCTTCATCCAGATCTTCACATGGCAGATATCTTCTTATCAGTTAAATGACAGCTCAAATGTCCCATTTGTAAAGTGGCCTTTCCTAATCACCCATGCCTGGAATCAGTCTCTGGGCCCATCGATGCCATTTTGTTTACCTGAAAGCACTTATGGTGTCTTGAAATGACCTTCTTTCATTAATTAGTTTATGAGTTTTATCTCTATCTTTACTCAGAATGTAAGCTCCAAGAGAACGGAGTTCTTTCCCAGTTCACAGCTATCTTCAGCATCTAGGATGGTCTGAGTACTCAACACAAGTTGAGTATAGGCACTCAGGTATTTGTTCACTGGATAAATCTGGATAAATCCTAGATGCCATCCTCGGCATCTAGGATAGTCTGTGTACTCAACACAAGTCCCAGGCACTCAAATCTTTGTTCACTGGATAAACGTGGAAAATGGCACTGCTAATACCCACGCTACCTGGATTGCATTTCAAAGGCTGTATGAATGGACTAAGAACTGTACTGGAGTGGTAGCAGACAGCCTAGGGCAAGGAGTTAATGGTTTCTGCCTTTTAAATTGGAAAATGGCACAGAGGGCACTGAGTCTAACTGCCACCCAGTGCCATGTGGCTGACGGGGATGTGCTGATAGGTTTAATCTAAGTAGTTATAAACCAAACATATGCAAATGAGGACAAGTTCTGCTCAGCACAGGGGACATGTGTTTGAGTAGTGTTAAAGCTGTATAAATGATGGCCTTATCTTTTTGTCCCAGTGGATGAAGAAAGAAAGAAATCCCAAGAGGAAATATAAAATACTCAATGCTTAATGTAGTAATATATTTTCAAGCACTACTACAAAGTAATGAAACAGTACTTAAACTAAATTAGTAATTCCAGACTTTGAAACCAAAGAAAGACATTTACTTCTTAGAGATTTTAAAAATAAATCACCACGTCTGATTTATTGCTAAGAACAGGAATAAATCACCATGTCTGAGCGAATTAAGCACAGGGTGGTACATACATGTGCAGTCAGGGGCTGGGGCAAGGGTTCACCATGAAGCAGGCCCACTTCTGAGACTCCTGGATAAGCTACTGACCTGCTGTAAATCAAATGAACTAAGGACCACATTGTGAGTGACTGGGTGCTCACACATATTTTGTGATCTCAACGAATATTTGTTCTTAACTGCCTTCCTTCATGAGTAAGAACTCAATTGGTGATTCCAGTCCAAAGATGATATGCTTTACATATAGACCTCTGTTCCAAGAAGGCCTTCTGATTCTACCACAAGTGAATTTTCAGCTTTTAGTTTCTGGTTATACCACAGAATAGATGATTCCTGTGCATCCTGGGGCTTAATTGTGCAGGTCTGGATTCAGAAACCCAGCACCAAAACTTGAGACCATTATGCAAAGCAAAATAAGCCAGACTCAGAAAGGTAAAGGTTGCATTTTTTTCTCTTATATGAGAAGGCTAAGATATAAATAAATGAATGAAATATAGGAAAGATGATAGGAAAAGAGAAGGTAGACTCTAGGGATGGGATGAGGGAGGAGGAAGGAAAGGGGGTAAAGGGATTGAAAATGAGCAAGATCTGTTACATACACGAACCAATTGGCCAATCAAACATCAGTATGACAAACTTGTATTAATAAAAAATAAAAAAGAAGAAAATGCAACAGAAATAATATAAAATATAATAAACCTGCTCTTTTTTGTGGCCCAGAATTTTTCTTGTATCATACTCACTCATTTCTTTCTCTCTCTTTTTGTTCCCTTTCTCTTTTTTTCCATAATGAAAAAGAAAGCACGGTTTTAAAAAGTTTTTTACAGTATAACCTGGGGCAAGTTAATTAACCTCTGCATTGGTCTTTCCTTCTATACACTGAGGACAAAAATAACCCTACCTTGCTTAGCACTGTGCTTAGCATATAGGAACTACTTAATACATTTTAGGCTTTATTCTTAAATCTATCATCCAAAGATTATCCACCCAATAAAAACTTGTTGCCATTTGCTGCTTTAAAAGGTCTCTGTTATTCCATATCCTGGCATGATCCCCTTGTATAGCTCCTGACCTCATGGGCTTTCACTGTGTCTTGCTGAACAAACCATCCCATCTATGCAGACAATGGATCCCACAGCACGAGCATCTTAGGGTCCTATGAATCTGTAAGGAGAAGTAGATGCCTCACCAGGCCATGGTTGTGAAGACCACGGGAAACAGAAGCCACCAGTAGTAGTCTAACTTCTCAGAGGACAAGGCCACCAGCAGTCCCACCAGCATGCCGTTGTAGCCACAGAGTCCTGAGGCAATGGCTGACCTGGGGAGGAGACAGGTGTTTTGCATTGGAATTTGGTGGTACTTGTTGCCCCCCCTGGGGGGGGGACTAATTTAGATGACTTGTATAATCAAAATGATTCCTTTACTAGTACTACAAAAGAGTGCACTGCATTAGTATTGAGTAGTCACATAGCTGCACACACACACACACACACAAACAAACACACTTGCTTATTTTTGCTGATATAGAGGTAAATTATGCACTCTTATCGGTGGCTAAGCTCTTTGCTTTTGCTTTTCAGGGGCATTTCAGACTACTAAGTGTAGGAAAATCTCATAGAAGTCATGATGTGTGATATGGAACGTGTGTGTGTGTGTGTGTGTGTTGGTGTGTGAAAGGCAAGGGAGGAGGGACAGAGAGGAGGGATGAAGGCAAGGAGGAGAGGGAGTGTTTTCATACTGCACTGCATACAGTTCTGCCTGGCTGAAGTTTGGTTGCTTTCCCTCTCTGTGTGTCTGTGCCCACACAGACCCGCTGAATGCACTCATGATGCCCATGTGGTCATCTCTCTGTCTCAGTTGGAGTGTCCCGAAGTGTCTAGAATCAAACTTGGGTCTATTGCCTCAGACTGTTTCAGAGGGGAAACTTGTGTTCCCTAAACCTGTCTCCTTGACCCCGATCAACGCTGCCTTGACCTTTCCAATAGCTCTACTGGGAGAGGGGAGTGGGGGAGGGGTTAGGAAGGGTACTGGGCAAATCTCCTGCAAGGTTCTGACCAGAGAATGAGCTTCAGGAGCTTGAGGTCTGTCCTCTTGTACAGCTGGGGGGGTGGGGGGTGGAGCCTGTCCGTGTTCACTGCTGTACCCCTGGGCCCCATTATCAGCAATGCTCCCATGGAACAAGGCATGATGGTACTTTGTAAGTTTTTGCAGAGAAACCCACTGTAAGGTATACATCTTACATTATGATCTAGTTCTCCTCTACCACATCCCAACATAAATCAAACAAAATTTCACAAAATCCTATTTACCTTCACTGTGCACTGATTGGTCTAGTTTGCTTTGTTTTATTCTATTGTTTTAATATTTTAAAATGCTGTTGACATTTGATTCATGATCTGCAAACCTCCACCTCAAAAACAGTAAGATATGGGATAATCTAGTATCTATTTCTCCAAGTTCTTTGACCATCAGAAGCTTTTGGGAAGACCTTGTCAAAAATACTTCTCCCGGATTCACTGAACGAGAGCATCTATCTACAGGAGGGAGGGAGAGCAGGTGGGATGAAATTGTGTCACCCCCCCTTTTTTTGAGTACTGGGGATTGAACCCAGGGCTTTCCAACTGAGCTACATCCCCTTTCATTTTAATTTTTATTTTTGAAACAAGGTCTCCCTAAGTCACTCAGTTGCCTAGGCTGGATTCTAACTGGTGGTGGTCCTTCTGCCTCTGCCTTCCAGAATGCTGGAATTACAGGCATGTGCCACCATGCTCAGATTTAAACTGAATTAATATCACATTTGGGGAGTCTATCAGGTAAATCTGGGAACTGTTGGAATAATATAGAGCAAAGTCCGAAGAAATAGTTGAGTTCTACAAAATACTTGTTGTTATTATTACTTGACTTTGCACTGACCAGTGCCTCGGAGTCAGCAAAGCTGGTCCCTCCCCATGCTGCCTCGATGCATCCTGATGCTCCTGAGCATTCCCTTCCTCAGTGTCCCCATCATATTCCCCTTTCTTCTCACCTCTCTCCCATTCTCCATACCCACCATGCCTATCTCTAGGATGTCCTTTCTAATCTTCCCAATGCTCCGCCGCATCTGTTGTGTTGTTATTCTGACACATTAATTGCCCATTAACCATATCTCCTAAAACGAGATTATAGGCTCCATGAGGAAAGAGCAGTTTAAGCATTTCTCTGCACCTCTCTTACAGGGAGTCTTCCCTAGTCTCCAGAGTCAAGCAGAGCCTGATGGGGTCACCTGCTGAGGGTCGGAGCAGTTTATTCCTGTAGGGTCCTTCAGTGACTTGCTCAAAGTTGGCACTCAGGAGCCTGGCTGGCTGCTAGGCTAAGGTTGGCTGCCCTGTCAAGTAAAAGCTTCACCTGTCTGCTCCATGTGTCTTGCCAAGAGGTCTGTAGGGAGGAACTCACCTGTCCTGGCTTAAGGCAAGAGCAGTTAAGGTTGAGACCACTGTCCCCAGAACCCCAGTAATTGTCCACCAGGGATTCTGGATCAGAAGCCCTATGATGATGATGAGGCCGCTGAGAGGGTTGTTGACGAACATCACCTGAGCTGTTCCCCTGAGGATCCAGTCTATGAACTGCAGGGTCAGGTGCTTATCTACAAGAAACAGACAGAGCCATCAACAGGGTCCTGCCTGCTGCCCTGCTGGACCACTGCTTGGCATTGAAAGCAAGGCACAGGGGGGTGCATGAGTCAGGAATCGCTTCTCATCTAGCCTGGGCAGGGTGGGGGGTGGCACCCACCTCAAGTCTCTGAATGGCCCTTTTTGCTATAGAGACTGAGGCACCATGCTGAGACCAATTTAACTCAGTTCCAGTCATTGGCTTGGTTGGTAAGGCAGCCCCAGGAGCATTCCAAGGGAAATTTATTGGTGTTAGGGAAGGAGTAGGGAGGGAAGGAAACTCTTTTTGTGTAGTGCTGTATGACTCAGTTGAGGGCCAGGATCTGAGCAGCAAAGAAAGTAGCCTGAGGAAAGGAAACTGGAAAAGAAATCGTTTCAGCCCAGCTGTGAAAATCATTATTGAATCAGGGCCCAGAGGAAGCCAGGTGTAGAAGAAGAAGGGACATACATTCTGCCTCCTTCTCTAGTTTGGTTTCCAGGGCAACCTGTGCCGGTGGGGGGTGAGTTGAGGCAGGGAAGGGTGGTGTTGTTTCGTTCAGGAGAAAGTTAAAAGGAAAGAACTCTGAAACTTTGGGGAGGGTGATGCCAATATTTTCTTGGCACACAATAAAAGGCTGTGGAACAAATGAAGAAATGACCATTCAGTGTGTTCAGGAAATGTCCTCTGTGTTGCTCATGTGGTTGCCCTATAGCTATTCCACATGGGAATGAACAATTTGCCAAGGACCAAGATCAGTGAAATGCATTTAATTCTACAACGGTGGGAATCCCCAGGTTAGTGGGATATATTGCACCCGCCCAGAGTCAGCTCAGGGCTGGAGTCCCCACTCCCGTCTGCAGAAGCCTTTATCAAGGAGGAGAGAGGGAGTAGTGGAGGGAGGGTTGTCTTTTGCTTGGCCCATGCTTCTTTCCTGGGCATTTGCTTACCTTTCAGCCAGTTCCTATACTCTTTCATGTCGCCTGTGAGGTAGCCCATTGCTTGGAAGAGGCTGAAGCCTCCCTGGCCTGCAGAGCCCTGGTGAGGTACCTCACTCTCTCTCCTTTTACTCCTTTCATTGGGCTTTTCAATTTTCACAATGTGGCTATCTTCAGCAGTTGATCGGAGATCCTTCCAAGAAAAGTCATGAGGAGATATTAAGTAATATTCCTTCTTGAGAGCAGGAGCATTTGGGGACAGAGGAGGTTACTGGGTCTTTTGATACAGATGAAGGATCATGGTACAAAGGGGGAGACATATGTCCATATCCAAAGCTGTCCAGAGTACTGTGTATAAACCTGACCTTCCCAGGGTTACTGCTCATTCTTCATAGCAGGGCTTCTTAACATTTCATGCCGTGGATTCCTTTTGGAAATTTAAAGAATATCATGGATATATAAAGTGAATAAGATTACAAAGAAAACCAATTATACTGAAATATAATCATCACAATATTAAAAAAATTGTGGTCTATACATGCAAAATAGATTAATATATGTGATAATTTAAGATTAATGATGAGTGAACATATGGGACTACCTCACCCCAACTCAGGGTGATTCTGTAAGGCCATCCCAGATGCTCAGCTCACCATGGGATCCATCCAGGCCTTTTTTGTGACTGCAAGACAACTCAATGTCTCCTTCCTAATCCTGTTGCCTTTGTTTCTCTGTGTTAGTCCAAAGCCACACCCCAGTGGCCTTCTTATTTGCAAGTCTCCATGTAAAAATCAGATTCCTGGAGCCCACTCTAGGACACTGATAGAAACTCAGGTAATACTAATATGGCTGTGTGGTTCACTGCCTAAATTTGTATTGACGTAAATGCTAAAGTCCATTGGAAGTTGGTGAAAACAAAGATAAATTGTTTTTTCCCATTCAAATTCATACTCCCCTCAGTATGTGGACTCCTTGGTCTAAAGCTATTATAGCCAAAAGGACAAGCTATTGAGCACTTGAAATGCATCCAGCCCTCAATAAACTAATCACAGAAGAAAGATTACTCAACTTGATAAAGAACATCTACTAAAGACCTATAGCTAATGTCACACTTACTGATAAAAGATTGAATTCTTTTCCCTCTAAGATCAAGACAAAGATATCTGCTCTGGCCATTTCTACTCAACATAATCCTAGATGTTTTAGTCCATACATTGGGCTAGGAAAAGAAGCAAAAGCAACCCACTGTGAAGAAAGCAGTTAACTTATCTCAATTTATAGATGGTATGTGTTTTTATATGGGAAATTCTTAAGAAGTCTGCAAAAGGGCCTATTAAAGGTAATGAATAAGTTCAGCAAGGTTACAGGATAGAAGATCAATATTAAAAAATCAATTTGTTTCCATGCACCTGCAATGAACAATCTGAAAATAAAATTACAAAAACAATTATATTTATGATAGAATCAAAAAACTAAACTTTTGGGAAATAAATTTAATAATAAAAGTGCAAATCTGTACACCAAAAACTACAAAACACCACTGAAAGAAATTAAAGACATATATAAACTGAAAGTTATCCTCTGTCTACACAAGACTTAATCCTGTTAAAATAGCAGTATTCCCCAAATTGATTTTTCAGTCACCTTTTTCCCAAGAAATGGAAAATCTGGTCCTGAAAGTCATATGGAAATGCAAGAGTCTCAAGATAAAATATTTTTGAAAAAATAACAAAATGGGAGGGGTCACACTTTTTGATTTTAAAACTTAAATAGATAGCTTTAGTAATTATGCTGGTGTGGTACTATCATAAAGATAAAGATATAAATCAGTGACATTGAACAGAGTTGGGAAATAACCTCATACAGCTATAGTCAATTAAATTTTGATAAGGATACCAAGACAATGAGAAAGAATAGTCTTTTCAATAAATGGTTTTGGGACAACTGGATTTCCACATACAAAGATAAAAGGTGAACCTCTATCTTACACCATATGCAAAGATTAACTCTAAATAAAAGGCCTAACTGTAAGTGCTAAAGCTATTAAAAATTGGTACAATCTTCGTGACCTTATAGAAGATGGCTCCGTAAGATACGGCACCAAAAATATAAGAATCAAAGAAAGATTAGATGAACCAGAGTTAATTAGTTAAAAAACTTTAGTTTCAAAGGACACTGTCAATACAACCTATGTAGCAGGAGCAAGTTCAAGGGCAGAGAGTTTGGAAACTGGTTGGAAGACTGGTGTATCAGTGTGTGTGTTCTCTACTTGTCCTTGAAGCTGTAGCTCACTCAGAGCCAGGTTTTTGATCGAAGGCTAGGTAGGTCCAATCACAGGTGTGGTCGTGTAATAATTAAGGCAGAATCCCCCTGGGGAGTGGTGTTTCCTGGTAAATACTGAGTCCACTGGCAAGCTGGAAAAGCAGCATCCTTCACTTCCCTCCTCCCTCAGCTTCCCACCTGGAAAACATCTCAGAGTGGACATTACTCACCTTTTCTTCAGGCATTTCCAGCAAGGGTAGGGCTTGGGAGCCTGGGGGCCAGGTAGGGCTGCTCGGCTCTGACTCATAGAGGGTGGATCTGCTTGAAAGGGTCTCAGGCAGGAGAGGACTGCTGTTATCAGACATCTCTTTCAGGGGGCGATCGCTCATCTGTCATTCGACTGGTGAGAGGGGAAGAGAAAAAACAAGTAATAAGGTCAGGGCCACAGGGACTTGGCTGAGGTTAGACTAACACCTCAGGAGGCTTCTGACCTGGGACATGAGCAGTGATAGTTGTGGGACCTACTGTTGCTGTAGCTGGTGCTGCCAGAAGGGCCCGGAGCTATTCTTCATCCATGTGAGCTTGACTTTTCCAAATACTCTCATCTGTCCAGGCCCAGAAGGAAGTCTCTTCTTGGTGGAAATAACTTCCTGACCACCTGCTTAGAAATATCTTTTTTTTTTTTTTAACTACTGAAGAAAGACTTTTTCTACCTTTCATGTTACCTGCTGCTATCTTATTGTGGTAGTTAGATGTGTGTATAAATTCCTCCTTGATGCATAACACATAGATCTAGTACTGATTGAGAGGCTAAAAGAAATGCCTTATCTAAGTTGCTGTGAAGACTATTTACAGCTGATCACTAATCTCCCTTGTCTCTCCTCTCTCCTCCATGCCCTATCTAGTCCCTTCTCCCTTTTACTCCTCTAGGAACAGCACAAGGTTCTGGTACATTCTACCGGAAGCTGGAGGTGTTATCCGCTCCATATGAGGCTCTTTGCCCTTCCCACTAGGGCCAGGTCTTAGGACACAGCTTGCTCTTGTGCTCTGTTCAAGGCCTCCAGTTTTCTTTTTTCATCCTTTTACCCCCTGGTATTGCTGTACTTTTCTCCTTCCCATTTAGTTACTCCAGCCATTCTTCTTTTGTCTCCTGCAGCTCAGTTATGTCTTTATATACTTTATTGTGCTTCTCAGAAGTGGTATAAAAAACTTTGGGGATCTCTCAGTATGATCTAAAAATTTCCCCACTGCTCCACACTGCCTGCCCTGAGTTACAGAAAGTCTTAGGACAGGGATTGCAGATCCCTAATTAGGTGCAACCACTCCTTACACTTAACTTCACAGACTCTGCTAGAGATTGTACAGGTCTCTTCCACAGGGAATGAAGGCCCCTACCCCTGCATTAGCATTTCCTTGGGCTATTTCCTCCTCCCAATAAAGGAGATTCTTTGCTTTCCACTTTTGCTTCCAGACCACCCTCTCACCTTGCTTGTGCAGAAACTCTCTTCTCTGAGACTTACACGCGACCATTTCCCCCCGTCTAACTGCTCACTGTCGTTACTGACTTTCTGGTTCCTGTCTCATCCAGGTATGGGTTTCGGTGCTCATCCCCACTCCAGTGATTCAAAGCAACTTCAATGTCCAGGCAGATAATTCATCATCTTCTTTGGCTTCTCAGATCCTCATCCTCTTCATCTCCACTGAGTCTTTCTACCTCCTCTTTCCAGCCACCAATTTCCAAAGTCACAGCAAAGATTTATTATCACACACATTAATAAATTCTCAAAAATCAAATCCCTCCTCTGGCTACTACCTCCTGTAATTTCACCTCGTCTGCTCGTGTACCCTCTCTGATCTAGCCCTTTGACTTCTTGGAGACCTCTGATCTATTAGCTCTACCTGCCTCCTATCTTCCTTCCCTCCTTGACCAGCTTAGATTTCATTTTACTTCTTTCACTTCCCTTGTTCCCATCTCCCTTCATTTTGCTTGTGTGGTGAAATCTCAGCCAGGACAAATCCAATGCCCTAATTTTCCCAAGCTTTCCTCAAGCAACCGACCGTGACTACACTTTCATAAACAGAATAGACTGCTTTCACTTTATCATTGCCACCACAAATGGACACTTGGCGCTTCTTTCCCTCTGTTTAGTTCATCTCATTCTGGTTTCTGTTACCACTGCCTTTGCTGATGTCTCTAAGACTTGAATGTTGGCGAATCCAAACATGTTCCAGTCCTCATCTCAAGAGACTGCTCAGTTGTGTTCTAAGAGTTGACCATCCCTCCTTCACGCACCAGTTTAGCTTTGTAGCTGTTCCTTTCTCTGGCTGCTTCTTCACTTCTCCTTGGCTGGCTCTGCCTCCTGCACACACAAGCATTCTGAAGAGTTCTGTTCTGGTGCACTTTTTCCTTCTTCACTGATGCTCCTACACAGCTGATGCCAGTGATCACCATGGCTTTATATTCCATCTGCATGCCTATGACTCTCAAATCCAATTTCCAGTCCAGTTGTGGGCACTGGATTAATAGAGTCATTTGTCTACTTTACCCTTGCACGTGGATGTTCCAGAAGTAGCTTAAAGTTAAGATGCTGAAAACTGATAATGTTTCCCCAATCCTGTGCTCCCTCAGAGATGCCCACCCAGGAAAAGTTCTCCCCCTCTAAGCTGCTCCTTCAGAAAACTCAGGAGTCACATTTAATGCTTCCCCTCTTCCACGCTCCAAAACTAGTAATTCTATGTCTGAAATGTACCTTCATGCTCACAGTCAACAGCAAGCTACCTTCACCTCACGCTTTTTATCCAGAATTCTCATATGTACATCTCCTTCACTTTCCCTCAGATTTATTCTCCAAGCCATACTCCACAGGGCGGTTATCATATGAATACTGAGATCCACTCAAGTTGGTTGTTTGCTTAAAACCCACCACAGGTTTCAGATGAAAAAACACATCTTCAGTATGGTGTCAAGGATTTGCACGACAAGCTCCCACAAGCTGTAGCCCATCCCCAGCTTCTCTTTTCCCAGGGCTCTGGGCACCACGCCGGCCTCCCAGGAGTACCTGGAAGGTGTCAAGCACTTTCCATCTCAGGACCTTTGTATGTACAGGTCCATCAGCTGGGAAGGCTTCTTCCTCACTCTTTAGCTGGAGAACTATGTCTTGACTACCACTTGTTACAGAAACCTTGCCAGATCCATCCTCCTTCTAGCACTCTCTTGTTGTGTACTCTCATGGGACCCAGTATTCCTCCTCAGGGTAGACTTGTGTATCTATTTGTGAAGCCCCCATCCAGAACTCAATATTCATAAGGATAGTGGCCCCTTCTGTTCTGTTTACTGCTGTATCCATGGCTCCTAGGACAGTGCTTGACATACAGTAGGTGTTCGATAAACAAATATGAAAAAGAAGGAAGGAAGGGTGAAGAAATGAAGGAAGGAAAGAAGGAAGAAAGGAATTGTAGATGAGGCTCCAGGTGAATACTAGAGTGGGAACTCTTCCTTGGAGAACTTTACAAATCCCTGTGGGTCTCAGGAGTCTCCAGTGATTTAAGAAGAGCTCACCAGCCCTGCATTTTCGGAAGCAGGGCCAAGTCTAGTACACGTTCTCACTCCCAGGAGCAAGGAGCTCCTGAAGCCATAGCTCATTTTTGTGTGGTTCTAAAAGGATCATTCAACTCCCACCCATCCTGCTGCTGCCATTGCGCTGGAGTGGGGATCTTTCCCTTCCCTCTCTTCTGACCCTGTTGCGGGGGGGGGGGGGGAGGTTCGGTGAGGGGTGGAGATGGCCAGCCCTGAGGGGCCATGTCAGAAAGGTTTCGGAGGGTGGACCACAACGCCAGGCCTAGGAAACTGGCCCTTTCCTCTGTGCTCTCTCCCTCTGGTGGCCAAAAGGTGACACAGCATCTCTGGTCCCTTGGCAAAAATTTCCGCGTGAAAACAAAGAGGTGGGCTGATATCTAGACACAGGAGCTATGCGACACCAGGCATCTGGATGAACTGTAAAAGTTCTGGAAAGAACTGTGTTAAATTCAGTAGCTGTAAAATCCATTAAAAGTCTAGTTGAAAAAGGATAACAACATTTAAAAAATGTATTTCATTGAATCCACAATATTATCAATTTCAAGATATATCATTATTTTATGCATCACCAAGAGAAAAGAAATTGCTGCCAATCACAACAGTAAGATGCATCTTAATTTCAGAGATGTTAATTTTTGAAAACAATATATATCATATAATCGAGGACAGAATGGCTTTCAAGTGATTGTGCTTAAGAATACAGATAGGAATTGAGAATTATTCTCTAACTACAAGACTTCAAATATTTTTATATTTCTTTTGGTGAGAAATGTGTATATATTATGAGCCTTTTAAGACCAAAGACTGTTTCCTTAATTTGTGTGTTTGTACCACCTGACAGAAAACCTGATATGTGAAAACTCCTGGATAAATGTTTAATGAACTAAGAAGAGAATGAATGATTGCACAAAAAAGGCACTCTCTGAAGTACTCTCCTAAAAGACACATTGCTCACCACCCTTTCGTGCAGACAATATTCCCATTTATAGAGAAATCAAGGCCCAGAAGAGGAAAACAGGAATTGCTCCTCCTGTGGCTCCCTGTACTTTGTGTGGCTAGCTTTCTTCACTGTGATAGGAGAGAGAGATCCCAAGAATGGGCAGCTTGGTGCAGAGTTGAGATTAGAGCCAGATCCCACCCCGGGCTGCCTCAGGCGCTGGCGGGGTGAGCAGAGCCTGGGCCCAGCGCTGCTTCACAAGCCCACGTGGCCTCGGCAGGAGCGATGTGCTTGTATCTCCCCTTGGGAACACAGCATTCCTTTGCCATGGGAATGTTTATCCTGCTAAAAAGGGGGAATTTTGGCTTGAAGGCAGGGGTGAAAACTGTAGCAAAAATGTACTCGTAAAGAGAAGGTCGCTAGTTGGGAAAGAGCCCTGTTTGCTTGTGCTGTCTGGCCATGGGTCATCCTCCTCAAAGGGCAACCTAGGATTCTTAGGACAGTCAAATCGCTGACTTAGTTCTTGGCACATAGTAGGCGGTCAGTGATTTTCATTTCCCTTCTTGTGTTCTCAAACTGAAGGGAAAGATGGCTGGAGCTACCAGATGAGGTACAAGCTGGCTGGTCTGAAACAGGACATCTTTCAAAAGTTTCCATAAAGCATCACCACTTGTTAGAACTGAACATGGAATCCCTGCCCCGGCCACGTCCTGTCTGAGGGCTTCAGAGCCCATTCCCTGCTCTGCTCTGAGCCAGTCCATTAAACCCGCTTCCAAGAACACATAATGATCTGCTTGGCGCACTCCTGCCCTCTCCTTGACTGCCCACACCTTTTCCTCTCCCTCAGAAAGATGGACAGAAAAGCATTTTGCTCA